CTCAGAAAACTAGGACATTTCTGATGGAGCAAAAGTGACAACACAAAAATCTCAAATCTAAGTTGGGCATGGTGGGGCACACCTGTAATTTCTCCACTCAGGAGGCTGAGGCAGGAGGATTGCTATGAATTCAGGGACAGCCTGGGCTACAGAGTCAGGCCCTATTTCAAAAACCAAAATCAAAACCAAACAAAAATCACAAGTATGAAGTTTGAGGGCTTTGGCCAGCACTAGGCCTTTTGGCAGCTGACATCCTAGAGCCTGGAATTTCACAGGCCATGCACAAGACTAGAGGGAAACTCTGAGCTGAGAAAATGAGAAATCAGTCTGGAAACCTCTTCTTAAAGCAAGCACCCGAAGGAGGCAATAACCTCAGTAAGTGAACTTCGGATTAGTATTTAACATACGTAGTGACCAACACAACAACATAAATTGACATAATTCAGTATGAAAGTAAGCACTCAAGTTATATTTCCTTTTATCCTCTTGGTAATGTAAACCATTACTAAATACCTCTTTGTATATACCACAATTCACTGAAATGTTCTGATGTAGAAGATAAAGACTTCTAAAAATCACTGGTGCAATCTGCTTTTTGTCAACGTTTTTGATCATCTATACTTGCTGAGTAATGTCCCTATTTGAAATATGATTTGACATAAGAAACATGTTTAATAAATTTCAAATCAAATCAATAGAATCAAATCAAATCGGTAGAAAATTCTTTTAGTGTAACTTTATTCATAGTAATGATGACGAAGTTTTTACACACTTGTAATGCTCATATTCAATTAAGTCATGAAAATTAGTGGTTAGGTCTCATGCAATTAAACTGTATGCAATCCTGACAGTATTTAAGAGGATGTTCTGTTGCTGGGATGTCTGATTCAAATCCCACCACTGTCATTTAGGTGTTGAAGTAAAAACCTCTCTGTGTCCATTTGCCACACTTACGGAATGAGGCATGATGACAGTTATAGCACGTACATGAATTCACAGCGACTTCACACAGGACTGGGACAGGCGCAAAGCGGCCTGCCTCGCTGTGTTGTTAGTACATGTTTGTAGGGCATGACGTTACACCCCTTAGGGGGAGCTGGCACGTGAACGTAGCACATCTCAATTGCTTTTACCACCCTTCCTCCCCTTCCTCCCCGCTCCCTCAATCTCTTGATCTCCTCCCTTTTCCTTTTTTGTACACGGCTACCGCAGCACGTAACGCGTACATTCCACTCCTCTCCCAATGCAGGTGAAATTCAGCACTTTGGAGAAGTGAGGAAAGCACGCCAGGCCTCATCTTCCCCAGCCGTCTCCCTCCCATTGCAAAACGCATACCTTCCAGCAGGAGCAGAGCCCTCCCTCCCGGTGCCTGCCTAGCTGGGCCATGGTGAGGGTTTCAGTAAGTCTCAGGTGGATGAGAACAACTCCGATGACTGCTGGATGTCAGTGGGCAGCCACAGCTCTGTCCCTATGCCATCAGACATTCCTCTTTGGGAAGGCCGGGGCTACCGACTGCCAGCGATACCATCTGTCCAACAGAAATCGCTTGTGTAACTGTGGTCTGAGAATATTTGGGAGGGTATGCTGAAGCCATGTCCAACCACCTGTAGGCAGGGGCACTGGTGAACTTCAACAGGTAGTGCCCAGGTGGCACAGGGCCATGCTGCTAAGGCGCCAGCAAAATCAGTGGCAGAGCATGAAAAATGGGACTTAGAGGATCTGACTTGCATGGACAACAATAATACACTGGATCCTTACCCATCACAGAAGCAGGCTATGAGCAAGAAACTCCTAAAAGATATAATTCAGGAAAAAATAAACTGGTCCCAAGAAGGAAGAAGGAGGCAATGCAAGAACAGAACTGGTAAAAAGAAGAAAATGGAACCGTGAAAACTCTTAGCCATTTCATCAGTCAATAAAAGAAAAGAAAACAGAGAGGACAAAAGAAAAAGAGAAGGAAAGAAAGAAAGAAAAAGCTGCATCAAGAGAAAGCGAGAAAAATAGAATAGCAGAAATAAATACAAACACATTCTCATCTGCAATTATAATAAAACTAAATATTCAGAACGACTCAATTACAATGCTACAGGCACCCTGTTGCATTTTTTAAAATCCAGCTATAACTGCCACGCCTAGGCAAAATGATTAGTGTAGATACCTGCATACCCATGTTCACTGTTGCACAATTCACAATAGCTAAGCTAGGTGCAGATTGATTGATAAATGAAAAAGAAAATGTGATATAAGTACACACTGGAGTATTATTCAGTTATTTAAAAAAGCCAAAATCATGTCATTTGGAGGAAAATGAATAAAACTGCAGTTCATCATGGTTACCAAAATAAGCCAGACCCAGGAAAAAAAATCACATAGTTTCCTTCAGATGTGAAATCCACAAAGAAAAAAGAGAACATGAAGGTAGAAGGGAGACTTGTAGAAGAGAAAGAAAATATGTGGAGGGAAGGGGTGGACAGAAGTGGATGGTGGAAATGGCCAAAGTAGGTTATATGCATATACGATACATCAAAATAAAACCTGTTACTCTGCATAACTAATATGCACTATTAAAAAAGAAGAAAAAATTACAGGAAATTTTTCCAAAAGCATCTAGCTATACTGTATGTAAAAGTGGCAAATAGGAAAAGAAAGTTTAAAAATAGAATAATTCAAATATATACCATGCAAATGTAAACCCCAAAAAAGTTGGTGAAGGTAAATTTGTATTAAATAAAATAAACTCAAGGCAAAGAGTCTAAGAATAAAGATCAGAAAATGTTGATGATCCTTTCAATTGATGAGGAAAATTTAATAACTCTAAACTTATATTGCATGAAAGTTATACTCAAAAGCTATAGACAAAAATTCACATCTCTATCTGGATAGGTTGATAACTCCACTGCCAGAGGAAGACATTTAGCCATCTCTCTCAGGAATACAGAGATCACCCAAACCAAGAAAACAAAATGAGAACTGTTGACTGAAATGGACATGTAGGTAGAGACCACAGCACCCGACACTGGGAGATTTTATCATCTTTGCAATCATGCATGGAATATTTATAAAAATTTACCAAATAAACCACTGGGTAGGTACTGACAAATTTCAAAAGATCAATATTTTATAGACCTTCTGTTGACCATAGCACAATTATTTTCAAAATCTGTAAATAAGTTTTTCTCTTTTGTTGGGTAAAGGGAAAATCGTAATGGAAATCAGAACATTTCATTTCAGTCTCATTGAGAAATGGCACCAACAGCAATGAGGCAAAAGCTGAGCAACTCAAAAAGCCTACTAACACAGGGAATAAACAGAAAAAGGAAGGAACCATACACAATATAATCAGCACCAAACTTCCTGTAGTTCTTAGATTTATAGATTTGTTTTTATTATCTTTTCAATCAGAATCCCCAAATTGATTTTTAATAACCAAAAAAACTACAAAAAATTTATTGTCTTATCCTTTTCTCCTCTCTCAGCCCAGCAAGTTTCCACTACTCAATTGAATAAAAATTCCACTACAATTTTAAGATGTAGAGAGCTTGAAAATATGAAAAATCAAACTAATTTAAAAATTCAAGACAGAACTAATAGGAGAGAAATCTTGAGTGTCAATGCAATCTTCTTATTTTGTTTTACAAAGGAAGAATTTAATGGAAATTAAGGTGATGTGATCAAGCTAGACTCAAAAATCTCTTGGGTCCTGCATAAAATTAATATTACAAGGTTATTTAACAAACTTAGTTCTCAAAAGTATTTTCATTTAAGTTAAAATCATGTAAATACATAAAGGAAACAGATTGCCAGGGGTCTATATTATTCTTTATGCTGTAAGAGAAGACCAGATACACCATTAGTTTGGTCCTTCTGAGTTCAACCCCTGCATAAAGAATGCATCAAAATAAATGGTAGAAATTGCTTAAGATGAAACAATTTGGGCCACTTAGACCCTATACAGATGCAGAATGAAGATGTGCCATAAGAGCTGTAAGTGGGACAGTTCTTTCTATTGAAAAACAACATATAAAGGCCTAGGCTGAACTACAACCTGCCTCATGGGAAATGAGAAGAAAGCAAGCAAAGTCTAAAGCAGCTCTCTTTACACCTCAGGTGACATGGTGGTCTTGGATTTTTGTTGTTGTTTTTGCTTTGGTTTCATTGCTTTGGATTTTGCCCATGAGTTTTGTCACTGCAGGTTCTGAGGTTGCTGAAACTGGGATGTGAATTTTAGCCCTGCACAGATGAGAAGTCTTCATTGGCATGTCATGATGTGCAATTGTTTTCTTGAAACAAGATGTCACTAAACTGCCCAGGATGGGCTTGAACTTATGATCCCTCGACCTCACCATGAAAGTCGTGGGGTCTCAAGTGCACCTCCCTGCACCAGGCTATGACTTCACCTTTTTTTTTAATCTGAGTTTATCACACCTTTCTGCAAAAGGCCCGCCAAATATGTATATGTGCCTGAGGCCAGAGTCAGAGCTCCACCCTGCTCAGAATTTGGTTAGTAGTATTCATCAAATTTTGTGAGAAAATTTATTCTCAGAATATACACGGGTTCATTGCAAGAACTCTCATGGAAGCAGCGTGGGATTTTTATCCTCAGCTGACTGCGAGAGACACTCAGAGAGACTCTAACATGTCTCGGGGTACCCTGGCTAAGTGGAGGGCACCCTGGCTGGGGGGGAGGGGGCTGGACCAGAGAGTTCAGCATCCTGGCTCAGCACTTTCTCCTCCTCAGAGCAGTCAGATGCTCTTCATGGAAATGCAATAGCACAGGACACCAAAGGAAAACAAAAGGAGAGGAAAATCGTTTGTAAGGAAAGTTTGTGGTATTTTTTCACCTTTTTTCTGAATGGCTGCTACAATTTAATTACTAAACCAGACAGGTCACTTTAAAACTTTCAAGGCATTGCCCAACATTAAGTAATCCAATTAAAACTAAAAAAAAAAAATGGACCCATGAAGTACTTTAGGTCAAGCTGTTTTCCCAACTTTCTCACCTTTAATTCAGAAGCACACAGAAGGACTCATGTCAAACACCAACAAAAATCTTGTGAATTTACAAAGCATTTTGACAAATCATCTCTCTCACTCCTGAAAGTGGCTGCCTTGGAACACAGATGCCGCCTTTATCTTAAGGGTCCAGGACATCTAAGGAAGACTAAAGGTCTGCTCAGCGTTTCTGCCCCTGTAGGAAACTGTGAAATTCCAGACACAATGCACCTCCTATTTAGAAAAGGAAGACAAACCAAAGGCAAGAGACAATATATTATTTGTTTTTAGTGTTTCTTACACTCAAATTATTTGACTTCAAGCTGCAAGAAGCAGAGAGCGATAACCCCATACGAAACGCCTCCTAAACTTCAAAACTCCGTCAAGGGTTTAAAGACAGATGTAGGATGTCTGCTGGCTTTGATAAGAGACTGCAAAGAAAGGACAGACCCGTAGGAAGTGGAAAGATACACAAAAGTGTACTCATTACTCAAATGAGCCAAATTAGGATTTTAAAAGGATTGCACTATTTGTGTAAGAAGGCTAAAATTCTCACATATAGAACATACATATATATATATATATATATATCATAGCAGCAATCTAAATATAATAACAGAAAAAGTAAATGTGCTGCTTTTTAAGAGTTTTATAAAATTTAAAGCTATAAACCTTCCTCTTATTAAATTTACTTCTTTATAATGTCTAAAATAATACATCATGTTTGGAAAAGTTATTAAAATTTTCATTAGAGGCTTTTTTTATTAAAAAGGACTATTTCAAAACATTTTTTAATTATACTAACTCTCCAAGGATCATGCAAAGTATGGGCTTCAAAGCCTGCTTCTCTTCGATGGGAACAAGAGGCAGCTCAAAATTTAATTTTCAAAGGTTCTTGGCATTCGTTCCCAACTTTGTCAATAATCCACTAAAAATACTTATAAAATACCTACTGTGAGTCAGGCCCAGGGGTTGTGGTATAATGACAAAAAACTGCATCCCTCTCAGAGTTTGTCTCTCTCCTTCCAACACTGTGTAGTGCTGAATTCCCGCCCCCTGGAGGTCTTTATTGGCAGCAATAGGGATGGAAGCAGCAGGAGGTATCTATACTCACAGGCTGTGTGCCTTATATAAAACCATGGCAGCTTTCTTTCAAGATCTCTCTTAAGGTATAGCCTATAATAAACTCAAGGCTTTATTGTTACCTATATTGTTACGCATACACAATAAATACTTCAAACTTCTATAATCAAACTATAATGTTAGGAATTTTCTCCATTAGGTGAATGTATTAGACTTGTAAAAGATTTTCCATGTATTGTAGAGTAATTTATTGACTTACGTGGCTTCCTTTCTTGTAATTAAGGTATATCATACTTAGATTACTTCTTTGAACTTTATTAATATCAAAATTTATATGAATGTGAGAATTGTATAACATTATTGCCTTAAACAGAAAAATATGCCACTAAATATAGATAGATCTAAATTTTAAATGATTAAATTTTAACTCTTAAAATGTGATTCTAATATCTAACTTTAAAATCTAAACTTAAATATAACATGAATCTTAATTTTCAAAATTTTTAAATATTTATTTTAAATTTATTAAAATTTAAAACTAAATAAATTTTCAACTAATTTCTATAGTAAAATGGTGTAAGATGTATACAAGTACATTCCAAATTGAAAGTTTTAAAATATTAACCCAGCTATCAGATTATTAGTTCATTAACAGGGAAATACATTTTGATATTAATGTCACATGTATTTAATTTTGAAGTTTTTAACCAAAAATAGAATCCTCAGAAAATTAGAGTAGATTTGAGTATTACAACTTACTTTTAAATTCTATTTTTTTAAGCACATATGGGAAATATTCAAGCAATAGACTTTCCAGGATAAGAACTCTTAGATTAGTGAGGCCAATAACATGGTGGTTTCATCATTTTTACTCAAATGTCTCTGATGCACTCATTTTTCCAAACTATCAGAAGTTTGGCACATGTGACTGGAAGGGTAGAGTCCCAGAGTCACCAGTGTAGGATTCTGGAAGGGAGAGAACAGGCCACGCTGTAAACTCACGTCCCAGGTTGGCAAGAAATATCTTCTCATTGTGGTTCGTGTTTAAAGCAGAAGCCTGAAATCTAATGCATGGAAAAGAAGGACCTGCTGCTTTCTGGTCCTGTTCCACGGGAATGCTAAATTCTAACAATTTAGGCATCTCACTTACTGTTGCACAGCATCCTGCTTCTACAATCTTCAGTTTTTATTGTCTGGAAAGCAAACAAACAAACAAATTTCCTGAAGAGATTATCTAAGATCATTCATGCAAGTGTAATCTTCCTGGAAAGTCTATTTGTCCCTTTTCATCCCTCTGATCCACCTCGTATAGAAACAGAATCCTGGGGCCAAAGGATCTAATATAAATAAAATCACACTAATTATCTGAAAAGCATGTCAACTGTTATGAACTTTAACTTTTCCACTGGGAAGCTGATGAAATTAGCTAGGGAGCACATTACCTCATTTCAGTAGAAAACATATTTTTGGAATACAAGCTCTGCACATGTACTCCATATTCTCACCTTCAGTGAGGAATTGGTTCAGAACCGTGAAGGGATAGGAGGAGAATGATAAGGTTTTTTCACTTTTGCACAAAAGGCCCTATCTTCAATACCACCCTCCATTTAAAACTGAAATCTATGAGGGAAGTAAGGATCAATAAACAAAAATTTTGCACAGAATTTTGTTAATGTGTTTTGTTGTCCAATTATTACAGCTAATAGTTTCTGAAACATCTCTGTTTCTCCTGAGATAAAGAAAAATGTACCGAGCTATTACATTGCAAAAAGAAAGAAAACTAATGATGAAATAATGCTAAACCATGCCAAGTGCTGAGTTTTTTAGAAGTTATGGAAAGAGCATATTCCAACTTTCAAAACTTTAACATTATGATTCAGCATTAGCAATAGGTAAGTTATTTTCAGATTGATACGTCTCACGTATGCTTGCATTCAATCAGACCAATACAAAATGGTGAATCTAATCCTAAAGTCTATTGCCAATAGCATGCTGGATAATCAATTAAATAGCTCACCTCATTAGTATTAGATATTATCTCAGATTCTTAATATGAAACTCAATAACTGCTCTGATTCTCTGAATTAGGTATTACAAAATCAGTTGGCAATTTTTTCCAAAAATTAATATCTAACCGTACTTTAATCCAGTCAGGGACTTCACAGGTTTCAAAGTTTTAAAATATCCTAAAATATGAAGTTTTTTATCATAAAAGTTTTTAAAGTATTTTGTTACACAGAAAAAATTAAATATTTGTTGCAAAAACTCAAGTTTGAAGACACTAATCTATTATTGAATTATATATTCTGAAAGCATTTTAAGTATATAAATGAATGACTGTTAACATAGTTATTTAAATAAATATTTTATATGCAAATTAATTTAAAACTTATATGTAAATTAATTTTAAACTTATTTTGAGATGATTCTTTTATGTGACTCTTTTTTTTGTACCAGGGATCAAACTCAGATCCTTGTGCTTGCAGGGCAGGCAGCGGAACCACTGAGCTAAATCTCCAGCCCTGTGACTCCTTTTTTAGCTGGCTATTTTTCTCCTAAACAATATAACATATAAAGCCTTAAGAATGCCTCTTATACACATGAATTCTATATTATTGATATTTGAATCAGTAGAATCAGTATCACTTAATACCGTTCCTAGTTTATTACATATACTTAATAATTATCTCTTTAAATTGAAAAGTGAATAAAAGCTCAAGATTGTCTCCCAACTTAAAAGAAGTGTTTAGTTAAAGGATAATACGCCAGAGTCTTGATAAATCTTCATTTACATTCTACCTCTAATTTGAAGCTTTTGTTTTTATAAATACCTTTCGATTTCATGTTTTTGCCATCTACCACCTAGATTGTAACTGTTTTGTTTTCTTCATTTTGCTTTCAATACTGCAGAAGTGTGGTAATATAGTCTCTCACATTGTTTTTAACTTTCTCTGGTTAAGAATCTTCAGCAGTAAAATTTTGCTCTCAATACAAAATGTTAATTTCATACCCTAGCATTCAAAGCCCTCCATCAGGAACCTGCTACTCCAAATGCTCCAGTTTTAATCCATTTCCAAATAGAGCCTTTGTACATCATTCATATTTACTTTCATATGTATGTGTGTGTGTGTATATATATATATATATTTCACACACCTGTATATGTATTTCATGTAAATATTTGAGATTGCTCATTTGCCTTGGGATTCTTACCTCTTTACCAAGACACCTATATGCAAAAAGGATCTTGTTACTTTGTGCTCTTGCAATACTCTGATATCAGGTATAAAATCTTCTTGATGGTGGCACTTCTTGTTTTGTATTAATTCAGTTCAAATGTTTAGCCCTCAATATTCAAAGTATATTATTTCATCAAGTACTATAGAACATACAGAAATAAATTAAATAAATAAATAAAAGTGTAGCACTTAGAGCCTAGTATAATGGACACCCTTATATGTAAGTATTTTTAATAAAAACTGAAATTGGAGTACAAGGCTAAATTTAGAAGTTGTAGATAACCAGTAGTATACATGAAGAATGACAGCAGCTCATAATTTGCAAAGCATTCTCAATAAGCCATCCATATAAAAAATACTTGGTGTAACTATTTAAAGCACAGATTCTGAGGCCCCAGTAAGGCCAACTGGGGACGGGCAGCCCATGGAATCTACATTGTTAATAAGATGCTCAAGTGATTTTTGATATGCACTACTATTTTTAAATCACTTCCTTAAATTTTGGAATCAGAGTAACATGAGTTTAAAGGTTTATGATTTATTATGCAAACTAAGATATTTTAAAGAATGTTTCTTCAATTATTAAACTAAAATAATAACATCTGCCTCACAGGATAAATTAAATAAGAAAGCATGTTGAGCACTTAGCCTACTACCTACCATATGGTCCATCAAACATTAGTTAATTTCAATAATTACAAGTATCAACCATGATATATCAACTACAAATGGAACTGGTCGTCAGGAAAGGGTTCCTCCAGGAGGTAGATACTGAGCGGGGCTCTGAGGAGCAGCAATCTTCTAACAACTGCAAAAGGTTATGCACACAGAAGGTGCCAAATCTGCTTTTTAAATGACTGGGTTACCCTAGTGCTTTGTAGACTAATCAAAGCAGTTCACTAAAAGAAGCCAATCACATAGGACACTGATTGTATGATTCTAATTATATGAGCATCCAGAACAGGCAACCCATGGAGAGTAGATTAATTTGCTTAGGGTGTAGGTGAGAGAGAGGTTGGGAGTTAAAAGCTATCAGGTATAAGGTTTCTTTGTACAATAATAAACTTCTACTAAAATTGACCATTTGCACAACCTTGTGAATATACTAAGAACTATTGACCCATATACTTTAAATGATTGAATCTTATATGTGAATTATATATCTCAATAAGTGTGTTACAAAAATCTATTCACTAGAAGATCTCTTTCTCCCTCTGTCCTTAGTCTTTATTGTGGACAGTGTCTGAGCATACGCTCCCCACTTACAGGAGATGGAATTTCTACAGCATGGCTCAAGGGAGGAAAAAGAATCCAGCCTCAGAGGGACCATAGCTATTATCTTTCTGTCCCAGAAGTATTTCTTACTTTTCCTGGGCATTAGTAGTTGATACGCATTCATTCCAAACAAAGTATATGAAAATGGCAGAATATATTGGCTTGAAGAGAAAAAATATTCTAAGACAAGTGATATGCTAAAATTCTTTGAGGTATTTATGTCATTTAAAAGTAACCAATGTGACCAAACCCTAAGAAATATAGTAAGAAGAAATTCTGAGCTTGGGAAAGTAAGCACTGGAATGAAAGACAGTATTTGATTTTTAAAATTTGTTCTGTAGTTTTTAGTGCTCAAACTGCTCTCATGCATTACCTCTAAGCTGTCAATAATTTGGAAAGTGACAGACTGGCTAAGACCAAAATGTGCAAGTTGTGAATCGGATCATTTTCATTTCTTCATACCTTAACTGTGTGCTTCTACTATCTACTTACGTATGTAAATTACTTGGCTCTTCCTAGAAACGTGGTCATTTGAATTCTGTTTCCAAAGTCTGTCATTCCTTTTTATGATTTTCTTCTTAAGACTGTATAAACTGTTTTAATCCCAGTGGTACACATTAATACAAACAAACATACATAGAAACACACTCAGATGTTTGCTCAGAGAAATTATGGAAAACTCTGAGTTGTTATTGTAGTGCATAATTCGTGAAATAGTCCCAAAAGACAGAGCACTGAGGAGAACATTTTCTTGTCCACTGCCTTAAAAGTACAAATTTACGCTCTTTTCTTGGGCAGCTGAGCAGCAGCCAGCATCTGGCCAGATGGAAATGAATTAGGAAAGAATGAATTTGGAGAATTGTAAACAAGAAGGTTTGAGAAGGAGTGTGTAGATGTGTGGATGGAATACTTGGAAAAGTGCCAAATCATAAAAACATGTGCACCCCATGTGAATTCTAACCTGAACACATCACACCCCACGTAAGAGAAGACCAAGTGATTCAGATGTATACGCTGAATGTGAATGTCTACTCTTTCTTTTTCCTTGGTTCACCCAGGACTCCAAGGCTTTAAATAAAGATGTCATGGTGACAAGGATGGAGCTCAGTTAATTGCTGCTGCTACTACTGAATGTCAGTTTGCCAGCAACCGTGGCCAAACATCCAGCCTTAAGGGAACTAACTAGCCAGCTACCTGGTGACTGTTCAGTTAGACTGTGGCCTTTTCATTCCTAGGGAAGTATTCCAAAAAACGTTTCCTCCAATCAAAGGGCCAGCTTCACATCTTAAATTGGGGATTAACATCTGAGACCTTTAACCCTTATGGAAGAGTCAAGTGCCTTTTTAGAAACCTCACTGAACTATTGGTTTGCAGACAAGACCCTGCAAAACTGAGATGCTGACTTTCAGGATGTGGTTTTCTCTGAATCAATATATGACTCATTGTCTCCAAAATGCACAAGTTTAAGTTCGAAGGAGAGGTAGAGATGAGGCCCCATAATTCAACTTAAAAATCTGCTTGATAAGCTGTTTGCTTTGGAACTCAAGAATTTGCTTTTCTATAAATGCATTATTAGTACCCAAGGAAAACACATGTGTACTGATATGCACAATACTGTCTTCTGTCTCCTGATAATTTTGCTCTCTAGAACGTGGATGAAAAATCATAACTATGCTATT